TGCTCATTTGCGTGTGGCGGCGCGATTTCGAATCTCGATCGAAGAAGAAATCGAGATTGCGCGGGATTATTTAATTCTTTACGACGGAAGTGGATAGGTGGAAAAAGAAAGAGAAATTTCTTTCTCTCCTGGAAAGAGATTTTTGAGACGAGATTGAAACGCTAAGTGGCGAAAATTTCTTCGAAGAAAGAGAATGGAAGAATTGAAAGTACGATCGAGCAGGTGGGGGGATATTTTAACGAAAACGAGAGAAGGGTCGAGGGCGGGTAATTTGCAACGGCGGACAAACCGCTCGTGGAAAGCCATTGTAAATGAATTCGATGGACGATGGGAAGTAATTAATGACGACACCGATGTAATTAGCCGAAACTGATCCAAAGCTAATTGCGAACAGGCGAACCGCGGTAATTAATAACTCTGGCGCGACGTTATCGGACCACTACCACCGTCCTTCTACCTTTTCATCTTTTTGCCTCGTTGCGCGACGCCTGGGGACCACGTGCAAGGAATATCTCGTAATCGAGTCTCGCCTTCAAAAAGAATACGCGTTATCCACCGACGGACCAAATTTTTACGAACGATTCCTCGTTCGTTCGATTCGAAATTTTTCACGCGTGGATGATGCGAATGCGAGCGGAAAAACAGGATTCGAAGAAAAAAAAAAGAAAAAAGAAACGATGGAAATCGAGACGCGGTTAGATCGGGTGGTAGAGCACCGATTTCCAGTGCTCTAACTGACGCAGAACCGTTGCCAAGATCGATAAATCGAATCTGGACGAAAATGGTTGGTTCACGAGGGAAGAAGGATCGATAGAAGAGGATACGAGCTGCGATCGGGCCTCGATATCGTTGAAATATCGTTGGAATAATTTATACGCGTCGTTAATGAGCTGTTCATCTGAAAGAGATGGTTAGAGACAGGCAATTTATAAGTCTGGAAACAAAACTATCAGGATGGGAATTCGTAAAGCGGGCAATCTGCGGCGGGGCCGGGGCCCCCGTTCCTCGGGGCCCAGGTTAATAATTATTGAACTATCGATTAAATGCACCGGCGCAGCTGATTGATCAGCGTTTATATCGCGAATACATCGGCCACGTCCGCTCCCTACAATTTTAAACCGGGTGCCCATCTTTCAAGTGAATCGCGATCCTCTAACTCGTGAACGCTCGCGAGCGCTCGCGCGCCTACACCTGTGAAACCCCTCTTTCCACTCGGGCTAATGGCGTTGTCCGCTCAGAAATTATCGGTAATGAATGAAAAACGTGTCCGGATTACAGCCTGTTTACCCGTTTCCTCTTCCAACCATTATTCTCTTCCCCTCTTCGTCATTTTAATTAACGTTACACTCCCTCCCGCGACTCGATTCTTCTTTCCGATCCGTGATTGGAAATTTTTCGTCAAACGACGAGTCTCGATATAACTCGTTCCCTCTTTCTTTTCTCCTTTCTTTTTTCTTTACACGGATTTTCTCGTCGCGTACGACGATTAAATTAAATTAAACTTGAATCAATCGAGCGTTTAGTCGAAGGTATTTCTCTTTACTTAGCGGCTACTTTAAAATATCGATTCGAAATTGAAAACTTGGTTCACCAGAAATTGATCGTGTCGTATAATATCGGAATTCGGATCATTGCTCGTAATAACGTACATCCTATCGTCTGCCGGAAGCCAAATCGGATCGGCTCGAGCCAGGAATACAACCCAATATATAACCTGGTCTCTTAAACAACCGCTGCTTTTTCTTTCCTTTCCTTTTCCTTTCCTTTCCCTCTGCTTTCCTTTCCTTTCTTTTCTTTTCTCCTCTTTTTTTCGCAACCGTTCAATTTAACTGGATGTCGTTACTACTCTCGGCATTGTTGTCCGCCCGATTCGTTCATCGATTCATCCTTACTTCCCGGCTGAACGTTGGCCCCTACGCGCCTCTCTCCGTCCTCTCCGCACCTTCTTCGTTCCCCTCTCTCTCTCTCTATCCCCATCGATCTCTGTTGCTCGGTCGGTATCGCAGATGGCTCGATCCTTGTCCAGCCTTACCTGCCGATCCGATCCGATCCGATCCTATATTTATTGTATCGGGGAGAGCCGAGCCGCCGCATTCCTCGCGCATGCGCCGCCCGTAATGAGCGGTCTCCAGTCCTGTCTGTCTTTCCATCCGTCCATGCGTCTGTCCAGCCGACCGGTCGTAGCCCCCCTTCGATCACCCTTTCGCCCTACCACCGCCTCCACCTCCACTTTCGCCTCCTCCGCCTCCACCTTCGCCTCGCCCTCTCTTCGCCCTTCTCCGTCCAACGCTCTCCCGCCGTCTGTACTTACATCTTCCTCCCTCTTACGCTTCTCTTTTACTTCTTCTTCTTCTTCTTCTTCTTCTTCTTCTTTTCCTTCATCCTCCTCCTCCACCTCCTCTCTCGAGTGTTGTCGATGCTGCTCGATACTCCGGTAGCTTCTGGATCCTCCTCGAGCATCGAGGATCGACGATCGCAGGTTTGCGGAAAGCGCGTTCGTTGGCCTGCTCCCGTTCGCCAAGGGGGTCAGCTCCAGAAGCTGAATATTCGAGGCTTTGGGAGGGGTTTTGGGAG